TCAGAATCAAAATCAGAAATACTTTTTTAATCCTTGTAGGGAAATTCAAACTTTAACTACCTTTAGTAAAGGGTTGTGTTGTCATTTGATTGTAATTTTAATAAGTTAATATTAATAAGCTGCATGTGTAAGTTGCATGTGATACTGATTACTATTACAACCTAATTTTTTAGCTGCTATTACACAGCTGATATTACATGTGTCAAAAGTATTTTAATTATTGTATTGTAAGTACAGTATCTGTAAATAATCGTGTTTCTCCTATGTTCCGTAATATCTACAGATGTGACAATGATTTCAGCATAAAACATCCTTTATCGTGACTTTTTTCATTTCATGAAGCACTGCAACACCTGATGTCCTCAGAATCCACTGTGGCAGCAGCAACATGGTGGAGATCGGCAGCTTCAGGCTGGTCATGAGGATGACCTTCACAAGCTTCATCTTCACAACACTTCATGTGTTCCTCCCTCAACTAAAGATGACCTGCAACTGCTTACAGTTGGCAGTCATTGCAAAGCATCATGGATAATATTGAGTCAATTAATCTATCCGTTATGGTTGGTAGAATTAACACTGTTATCACAACAATGTTCATCTTTTACTTTCTGATTTGATAAACTTCAGATAAAAACAGTGTTTTCTTTTCTTTTTTGCCATAAGAGACAGGACATGGTCAGCACAGCTGTGTCCCTCAGGTCCATCCCTAATAAAATGACAGGAAACATAAAAGTATGGCATTATTGCAGAGATAAGTTAATTTCAAACAAAGTTTGTGTCCTTATATTCTGTGGATATTCAACTATGTATTTGAATATGGTTTGGGATTAAACTGTGCACTACCAAGACAATGAATCTGCAGTATGGAGTTCTTCCACATTAAAAGTATTGTATATATAATCTAATGCATTTTGTGCAATACTTTACCAGTGCTGTTTTAAGTGCATCTGGAAAGATACTTTCAGTTTCCAGTTTCCAGTGAGCAATTTAAATGTCTAAAACATTGAGAATAAAACTGCCTAAAACATCTTTAAAAATCTAGTCAGGATTGCATCCAGTGAGCATTTGGAAGACTTAAATTGTGCAATAATTCTGCTTCACTGATTTTTCTCAAAGAATTTTGAGTTGTCTGGGAAGAGGTTGGGATTGAGTTATTTGATATATCAATGGCATTTACAATACTGGCATGTGTTATGGAATGTTCACACTGTCTCTTGTCCTCCCTGGGGCATAGTGCAACAGGCTATTGTGTTTGGGAAGTGCGAGAGCTTGGCGAAGGTCAAAGCCTTCACTCCCTAGACATCGTAGATATGAGACTGCGTAAGCAGGCAATACTGTCTCCATAACTAGAAAATACATTTGATTGTTTAGGAACAAGCACACCCATAGATTAAATGATCTGTTGGAGTTTAAAGTGTGACTACAGGAAAGCAGACTTCAGAATATGAGAGAGCATCATGCACAGATGTTGTATGGATGAATTTTGATTTTCTCCTTGGCCAAACTTCAATAAATATTTCAGCATAAGACATCAAAGGGCTCCTGAATGCTTTCTTCATTGATGAGTTGACCACTGATCAGCAGATTTTCCACAACAGTACGGATATTTATTATCTTGTTATCAAAAATTTCAGCAAACTCTTGCAAACAAAATGTGAGGCAGGACATGTATATTCCGAGCGCTGCGACAGATATAAAAGGTGATCAATTGTGGAAAATAAAAACCTAAGATTGTTTCTATTTTCATTAATTACTTTAGAGAAATATGCCTGTCTCTCACAGCTTTGTTGTAGGTGAGGAGGGATCTTGTGAGAATTTCTCTGAGTCAATTAGCTTTTTTCTCCACATTTTCTCTGCTCTATGGCATTCCCTCTTTAGCAGACATCTTGTGTCCTTTTTCCATGGCATTAGTTTAGTCTGCGATATATTTCTTTTGCATATTTTGCCAGTGGCAAGATGTAAGGACACAATGTGATTTAGGAATGCATATTTAGGCTTAACTATCCAATCGGATGCAAACACCTGCATTTTCAGACTTGGGGGTGATAATTGCTCATGTTACTCTGTTGACGTTTTTTTAATTTTTCCCCCTTCTGGTCTCCTTGATGCAACAAGTCTACATTAAAATCTTTTGCATAAGAGATCAGCTGCTGCCTGAGTTCTCCTTTCACCAGCTTCCAGAAAACTTTTTGTACAGTTTGTATTGTATGTTTTGTCAGGGTGTTGATGTTTTGTTTTGTTTGAAGAGAGTTAAAAACAATTTTTTTAAAAATAAGAGAGAAAAGAACAGAGAGCCAGAGCAAGACATGGTACTGCCTCTACAGTATGTCACCTGATTTTCCCAAATGTGGGTGTACTCTGAGAGAGTTGGAAATCTTCTCATTAGCTTAGTCCATATTAAAATAAGCTAGCTTTGTTTTGTGTTTGTGTGTTTTGAGTGTTGAGCCAATAAACTATTTGTTGGACTCTTAAAATAAAATCGGCTGTTCCCAAACAAAAATATAAAAAGAAAAGCAGAGCTTACTTCAGCTGTTGATTTTAAGACAGGTTTGGAAGCTACTTTTACATTTACAGTTTTAGGATTACTGAGACATGTGCTAGGTGGTCAATGATTTCTATGATTTTTAACCATGCCACCGGCTGCTTGAGATAACTGGCATGTTGGAAGAAGTGGCATGGGGCTGGTCTTAGATTTGTTGGACCTTTGAGTGGTAAGAAAACATTTTGTGGGCCGATGAACAATAAGTTGAATTGATCGGGAAAAGCATATAGCAAGATATATGGCATAAGAAGAGCACTGCTCACACACATATAAACATCATCCCAACTTATCCGTCTTCACCCATCAAAGATTTACTGTATTTAGTCCTTAATGTAAACCCACTCAATAAAAGAGCAATATCGAAAATATATGCATTACTTCTAGATAGCTGCACTTATACATGGGACAAAATCAAGGCAGCATGGGAAGGAGAGGTTGGAGAAACAATACCAGAAGATACCTGGAAAAATACCATACAGCGTATACACACCTCTTCTTTCTGTATCAGACATGGCTTGATTCAGTTTAAGGTTGTCCACAGGTTGCATTATTCTAATGACAGACTGTCTAAATTATACCCTAATGTTGCACCAAACTGTCCTAGATGTCAATATTCTCCTGTTTCTTTGGGACACATGTTTTGGTCATGTCCATCATTGTATGGCTTCTGGTCTTCAGTTTTCCAGTCACTCTCAGCAATATCTGGCAAAACACTGCAGCCTGACCCTTTGATAGCTATCTTCGGTGTAGTTAGGGATGAGCTAAAGTTGTCCCGTCTCGACAAAAATGCAATTGCCTTTGCATCGTTGCATGCCCATTGTCTGATACTGCTGAATTGGAAGGGGAAGAATCCTCCTGCCTATGTTCATTGGATTAGAGAGACGATGTTGGGATTGGCTTTGGAAAAAAATTAGGTACACAGTACACGGGTTGGAGGATTAATATGTTAGAACCTGGTCACAGTTCATAACTCATATCAAGAGCTTGTCTTTTGCCTAACTCCTTATTTTTATTTATTATGTATTTATTTTTCCTTCTTTCTTTCTCTGTGACTGCCGTCATAGTCCTCTCAATGCCCATATTCTGACTGTTGGGACCTTTTTCTTTTTTCATAATGTTAGAGGTCCAGAATGTTGGTGTTATGACCATAATAATCAACACAGATTGGTTTGAGTCTTTTTTTTTGTTTTGTTTTTGTCTTGTATGTCTGTTTTTTGTATTTGTTTATATTTGTTTTCTTCTTTTGGTGTTTTGTTTGCCTATTTGATACTCGAGTGTTTTTCGAGGGTTGGGGAGACACATGAACAACAACCCTCACAGAGATGCCAACAACGACTGGCAGAGTCATCGTGTATGTGTATTTGCCTGTAAGACGACAAATAAAAAGCTCTAAGTCAGAGTCAGCTAGTTTAGCGCAACATGGCAGAATACTTATCAGATTTTGAAGATGTGGACGACGACTTTGACTTTGATGGACGCCCTTACCGTTTTGAGCCAGAGTACACAGATGAGGAGCTCCTTGAAAGGAGGATGCGGCGGTAGAGAGAGGAACAGCTGGCCAGAGATCAACAAACCGCTGCACATCCGTGAATAGATAGAAACTGGTGGTGTTCTTGTGGACAGTGTTGTCAGCAGCAGCAAACTCCGTGTAAACAAACACAGCCGATCGTCACCGAGGCGCGCAGCCGCAGCACAGGTGACGAGTGAAAGCCCGGGATGTAAACAAAGCAACTTGGACTCACAGGGGATTAGTGCTGGCGATTCATAGTAAATAAAGAGTTTTGTGGCAAATAATGCGTTATTTAGAGGCTGTAATGTGGATGCCCCAATCACTTGCGTTGTATGGATATACGCCGATTGCATGTGGATCTAAAAGCATCCGAAGGACTCCATTTTACTCCAAACCTTTATGGGTGAGTAGATCTACATACCATATGCTGGAAATAAGGTCCAAGTTGAAAAAAAACAAACTTCTCCTTAAGAAGTAAAAAGCAAAAAGGTTAATTTTAGTGAGGTTAAAGGGGCATGTAAATACAGTAAATATTGTCTGCGTAAACACTGATTTTATGTTAAGGGTTTGTGGTGAGGATTTCTTTGATGCTTTTGCTATGGTGTATGGCTGCAGCAGGTGGCTCCATGAAGAGAGCAAACAATGGAGAGAGTGGGCATCCTAGCCTGCTGCCCCAGTGAAGCGTAAAATAATTTGAGATCATTCCATTTGTGGTGATGTTGGCTTTGGGTAAGATGTATAGTGTCCTTATCTAGTGGATGAATGACTCCCCACAGCCAAATTTGTGAAGTGTGTTAAATAAAAATGTCCAGTTAACTTGATCAAATGCTGGACTAGTGATACAATAATAGTTTTGACTTGAGTTTGTTATTAAAGGTTGACAAGATTAAATAGCCTGCACGTTATCTGAGCCTTCTCTTTTGTGGTGTATTAAAATGGAAATTATTGTTTAGAGTTACAAATGTTTATTATGTTTCATTTTCAAAACATTACAGCCACAAACATCCTCAATAAGAACTTAAAATGGACAGTTAATTGCTATTCACACACAAATTTATACAGTGCCACCCCATGTATTCATACATTCAATAGAACATTGAATGTATCAGAAACGTAAAGGGATAGTTCACCCCAAAATGAAACTCATTATCTATTCAGCACTATGATGATGGAGGGGTGGGTGAAGTGTTTGAGTCCACAAAACACTTCTGGAGTCTCAAGTAAACTTTGTAGCACCTGAATCCGATACAACTGAAATAACCTCCATCCCCTCCATCATCAAAGTGCTGAATGGATATTGAGTGATGTTTTATTTTTGTGTGAACTATCCGTTTAACAATGAGCACTTCCCACATGGCACTTGTGATTAATATCACTATTCTGATGACAGCATTCATGACAACAAATGAGAAGGATTCAGACACAAAGCAAGAAAATTACCTCAATATGTTTGAGAGGCAGATTTCCGACCTTCAGATGGCAAGTGGTTATTCAGTGTCTCCTGGATCTGTACAGCAGGAGATTATATCGCTCTGTCAGATCCACATGACAAGACATCCTGTCACTTTACTCTTTCTCAAAGTGAAATGCACAACATCATCAAATGTTTGATCACTATTTGGATACTAACAGAAAGTTGTTCAATATTATGCTACATTTTTATCATTTCATTAAATATATTTAATTATATTCAATCAACCTGGTTATCTATCCAGTGTTAACTGATTGCCTTTTATCAAATTATGCTGCATCATTTGAAGAGGGAGTGGAGCTGCATCAAAATATACATATATGGTCTAAGGGGAGACCCTACCAGATGTTTAGAGGAGCAGTCTCACTCTGCTGCTTCCCCAAATGTCTTTGTTTAAAAGGCAAGCAATTTGTGGATATCCAAGGGTCCCTGATAGCACAAAATTGAGTTGAAAAATTTTCTCTGCGCAAAACTATACTCTCACACAACAATAATGTGACCAATTGAACGAACAAAGCGCATGCAATTCTTCCTTGTGGGAAATTGTTTACATTATGTAATTTGTGTCTCTGAAAGTAGTTTTTAAATATGATCAGAAACTGTAACATCAAACAGACAGACCAGTTGTTTTCACAGTGCTGAGAAACAGCTACACACTGTGAATTAACTCCAGATGTCAATTCTGCTCTCAATGCCATTAGTCAACAATCAATTTTCACTTTAGTAGAGCCTAACCTATTTATCACTTGGCCACTAATAATTGTTATTATGAGCCTTTCACATACTTATCATGATCACCGTTTATGTTTGCTGATTAAGGATTAATGCAGAAGACAATTTGCATTTATAGTCACATTGTATAAATAGACATTTTTATTTTCTTAATTTCATTTGTATTTTTGTTTTTTTCATTTTATTAAAGATGATCTACTATCAAATTTAATGGAAAAAAGGAAAATACCAAATCCATTTCTTTGTCATAAGGATTGCAAAATGATATCTCAGGAATAACAGAAAGATATTGTTTGACCCCACAAATCCTCATTGGTCAGGCTCTATACTTCCTTATCAAAATATACTACAATGACAAGTCTTTCAGTCCTCATCTTTCTCCTCATCCCCTCCAAATGACAGAAGACTGTTATTCTTTACTTTCTTTCCAGACTTTATCTCCTTCTTCTCTCCTTCATCATTCTTTTTCTTCTTGCTGGAGCTGGCAGTGAGCCCCTGGAATTTGTCTGAGAATGAGCGCTTGGCTGGTTTCTTGAAAAGGATTTTACTGCCAGGAGGAGGTCCATCATCTGCGGAAAAGACAGACGAGATTCATTGAGTTTGTACAAAAACAAAGACACCCAGCCTCAGCACCAGCCAGCCCGGGACAGGCACAGCTCTCTTAAGTCTGCTTACAATGTTCATTTTGGGTCTCTTTTAAAACTTGTTTGGACAACAAAAGTTGTTTTTTTTTACAATTCTTATCGGCTCTGTCAGTAATTTACTACTCCTTTCTATCATACGTGCTGCACACTGCGGAATGGAGCATGCCCTATATCCTCCGCCTCCATATATTGTCTAAGTTTTCATATTTTGTTGCTTTTACCCAGTCTGAGTTTAGACAAGTGTCTGATGACACTGTTTGTGTGAGTGTTTGTGTTTGGCTTTCTGTTAGAGCGACAGACAAAGAGAGAGAGAGAAAGCGCAGTGGAGTCTTTGTGTTTGTGCCGTTACCTTTCCCTGAAGTTCCAGGACTGTCATACAGAAGTTATGTAGTTCTTTTATAGTAACCAACCACTTATTGCGATCAGTTTGGCCCAGAACAAACGAACAAAAAAACCAAAGAATTTCTTCAGTAAGCAGAACGAAGTTTGCTGTGGCTCCTCTGTGTGAAGCACTTGGTTTTAGTTTCTCTCTTTATGGGCCAGCTAACCCACTCTGTTGTGATTGGTCAACAGCTTCCAGTGCATTAAAGGGATAGTTCCGAAAAATAAAAATGTACTCATTATCTACTCAACACTATTATCATTATGTTTTAAGCCTAAATGTCCACTGTGATCCATGGGGGACGCTGCTCCAGGAAAGAATATCAGAGGACATTTAGGCAAAAAGTATGGTGTACTTGCTGTTGTCAAATTTGAATGTAGGAGCTTACGGAAACTTGGATGACACCACAGGAGCAGTATGGAGGCATTTAATGTTTTTTGTGATGTTTTTTTATGTTTGAATAATCTGGCCCCAGTAACTTCAATTGTATTAGATTTGGCTACAACACTGTTTACCCCTGTTGGGACCTAGTATTTGTGAACAATAACCTTTGTTTTGAAGACAAAGAAGAGCTTCTAGAAAACTTCGGCTCCCAGGGTGCTTCATTTTCCCACCTAGGTGTTAGACTGCCCCTGGACACAACTTTCAAACACTATTGGTCACTGTGTGCCCCATGACACATGAGGTCACAAGGCCAATAAATGCCCAATTCCGCCAACTTTTCTTTCCCCTTTCTTCTCACAGAGACACCTCCTCACTTCTCCTTGAGGATATCTTTCTTTTCAACTCACTGCTCCTGGAGAAGAGGGGTTACCTCTCCCTACCCAAGCTCTTTCGACCTCCAAACAGGCCTGCTTGAAGCAGACTACTAAAACCTTCCAAAAGGGAGAAAAGTGAGAACTTTAGCAAAAGCAATTTGCCACAACAGAAAGTCTGACCAGCAGAGGCACAACAGGAGACACAACCAGCAAGACCGCTTCACTGGACTTCAAACGGCACCTCAATAAGGACCTTTCACCCCTTTTCATGAATTGGTAACACAACTGGGCTAATTACACCAGGCTAAGCAAAGGACTGTTATATTCTATTTCGTGTGATATTTTGGTAATAAGTTAATTGAAAGCTAATGTTAGTTATGTTATGCTGTTCAGTCTTCCTTTGCATGCAACTAACTACTCTCTCTAACCTGGCACCAACACCTCACACACTCATCTCCCCAAACTTAACACATTTAACACATACATTTGATCTCAACCACATGACCCCACCACTCCAGCGGCTTTTTGTCTCACACGCACGCACACACACACACACACACACACACACATACCATAAATTACCAAATAATAGCCGGGTTTCAATTAACCATAGGGTCCCCTTTAAATGCCAGGTGCAGGTGCATATTTTGATAAATAACCGCCGGTTCCAAATAAATGCCGGGTCTAATTCATTTTTTTTTTTAAATCAAAGAAGACTGACACTGCATGTTTTTCTTCTCCACCTTTTTCACGTATTGTGCTTGCTTTCTGATGATCACCATGGCTCCGGTGCAGCAAAAAAAATAAAATTCAAAATTGGAATTCAAAACTTTCTGTCGTAAAATATGCAGAGGAAAACTTGGGAGAAGCAGCCGCTAGATGTTTCTCTGTCAACCCCAAGAGAGTGAGAGATCGGCGAAAAAATAAAACTGAGCTTCAGTGTCTGTCTCAGGAGGACAGCAAAAGAGCCAGACTGCCTGGTAGAGGTAGGAAGAAGGCTAGTGAGGAGCTTGAGATAAACATGCGGGAAGGGGTTATCAGCAAATGGGCACGCCACAAGAGAGTGTCCCGCAAAATTATCAGGGCGATGGCGAAACAAAGTGCGCCACCGAGAGTGACAGCAGAGATGAGGAGTTTGCCGCGAGTGCTGGTTGGTTAAATCGTTTTCCTCTGCCTCAACAACTTCACTTGCAGAAGACGTACAACTATTGCCCAGATGGATTTTGTGAGGAAGAAATTAAACGCCTGTCCCAAACTGCCCAAATAAACGCCTGGTCTGTAAGTGATTGAAACAAATAAACGCTGGGCTATTATTTGGTAATTTACAGTATATAGTAAGTACACTTTTAGGTAGTTTGTGCATATACACTTTTAATACTTTCATAATAAATATTTTTATTGAACACATGTTGTCTTCATTAATGTTGGGAATTTTGCCAACCTCTACACTGTCAAGAAGTCCATATCCTTGAACTTTACTATCTATTGACATGGTAATTAGGGCCCGAGCAATGACAGTGCGAAAGCCCTATTGAAATTACCCTCCAAAAAGCCAAACTAAGAGCTACATGTAAGTGCTGCCGTCCTGATGTCAATGGAGAGCTCATACCACCATTTAGATGCCAGGACAGCAAACAGTCATGATTTTGTTGAGTGGCTAGCTCGTAGTGAGGGAGCAGCTGGCCGATAGATGCAGAGTGGATGGGCTGGGGTTTAAGTTTTGACCATGTTATGGAGGTAGACTGGACCTGATCTGTTAACAACACAGTATGTACTAGTACTAGTGTTTTAAAATGGATTCGGTTAGCCACTGGTAACCAGTGAAGGGAGTAGAGTAGTTTGAGTGAATTTAGGCAAGTTAAGGAAATCGATCAAGATGGTGCCACGGACGGCTGCCTCGGTACTTAGCTCTCTAGTACTTTTTACGTTTTTGTGTAATTGTTTTATCTTTTGTGCTCCTTCTCTGGCCACATACTCCAGAGAAGAACTCATAAACATAGGAATAACCACCAGTAAAGTTTTTTCATCGGCTTTCATCGATCCGGAAAGTTTTCCAGAGCTGTTTATTGGAGAAGCAGCTGCTTTCATGAGCGGTAGTTTTAACACCCATCACGAACTGTCCCTTCCCCTGTGTCCAGAGACATTTATTTCCACCTTTCATTCCCGCATGCTTGGGAATCTTGGACACTATTGCTCCATATTGGTCTATCTCTGCTAAACCTAAGCCTGACCCGTGGCTCAATGATACCACCCGTGCCCTTAGGCGTCGCTGCAGACAAGCCGAAAGCAGGTGGAAGAATGATAGGCGACATGTTTCACTTGGCATTCTGAGGGACAGTCTTCATGATTATCAAATAGCTGTAAAAGAGGCAAAATGTCAATATTTGTCAACTGTCATATCCACCAGCTGTAATCACCCTCAGGTGTTATTTAATACCATTCAATCTATTACAAACCCATCCAATAATGTTCTGAAAAATGTGTCAGTGGCAACTTGCAATCAGTCTCTGCATTACTTTGCTGAAAAAGTAGCCTCTGTTGGACAGACTATTGGTAATGCAGCTATTGTTACTGATGTGTGTCTCTCTACTGTCACTTCTGTTATGTTTAATGTGTTTGAGCCAATATCTCTATCCCTTCTGTCTGAAGTGGTCCAGGGAATAAGATCCACCAGCACAGTGGGTCCTGTTCTCCTCACATTTATCAATAGTTGCCTCAGCTCAGGGTCTGTTCCGAAAGTGTTCAAGCATGCTGTGGTCAGACCTCGCCTTAAAAAACCCAACCTCGATCCTGCAGTTCTATCAAACTTCAGACCTGTGTCCAATCTATCATTTCTGTCAAAAGTTTTAGAAAAAGTTGTTTTCCTCCAGCTCCAATAGTTTGTGGAAGATAATAACATTCTTGAAAAGCTCCAATCCGGTTTCAGAACTCGCCACAGTACTGAATCAGCACTACTCAAAGTGCATAATGATATTCTCATCTCCCTCGATGCCAAGAAACCCGTGCTGCTTGTGTTGTTGGACCTCACCACAGCATTTGATACCGTGGACCACTCCATCCTCCTGGCACGCCTGGCCCAACATGTAGGACTGCAAGGTTCGGTGCTGCAGTGGTTTAGGTCTTACCTCATCAGCTCCTCTGTCTTCTGGCGTTCCACAGGGGTCCATTTTGGGGCCTGTTTTGTTCTCACTATATCTGCTGCCACTAGGCTTAATAATACTGAAGCACAACGTCTCCTTTCATCTGTATGCAGATGATCTACAACATTATCTGCCCATCATGTCAAACTGTCCAGATGCCTTGGAGTCAATCCACAAATGTCTGAGTGACATTAAACTCTGGCTATCACAAAATTTCCTCTGTCTAAATGAGAGCAAGACAGAATGTATTTTGTTTGGCTCATCAAACCCGCCTAGTACAACACCTGGTCTTGGTCCACTGGTATCCTACTGTAACAATGTTGTTAAAAATCTGGGAGTGAAATTTGATTCCAGTCTTAAATTTGACATACAAATTAACGCTGTTGTGAAGGCAAGCTTCTTTCAGCTTCGCCTACTTGCAAAAGTTAAGCCGTTTCTGAGCCGCTGTGACCTGGAAAGAGCCATCCATGCCTTTATTAACTCAAGGCTGGATTATTGCAATACACTGTACATTGGACTTAGCCAAGCATCTCTCAACAGCCTACAACTGGTACAAAATGCTGCCGCCAGGCTCCTAACTAACACCCGTAAACACAATCACATCACACCCATACTTTACTCCCTTCACTGGCTACCTGTACAATT